CTCACTTCTAAGCTTTGAAACTGTAGTGACACATGATACACAGAAAAAGATAACAATGCAGCAAAACTCAATGGTCCAGTTTGTGGATTTGCACAGCATTGAAGTGAATCTTGGACTAAAGTGGAGAAACCCTTGCAAAAAGAATCCATATCAATAATAGGTGCTGCCCCTCTGTTCATTTTATTCTGTTTGAAAGTATGATTCTTTTGATTGGATGCTCTTTGCAAACAAAAGGTAAGAGCACTGGGTGGGCGGGGCTTCTGACATCTCAGCCAGAGCCAGTGTGCCATAATTATCAGCATAATTATCACAATTTGATTTGCAGGAAAATAAATGCCTCACATATGCCAAAAATGTTACTGGAAATCTTTATTATCAGTGCCATGTGGAGAGTGAGTGTGTAAACATAAGCTTAAAACCTGATATTAAAAGAAACTATGATCAATAGTCATGGAAAAACTGTAGGTTTGTTTGTGTAAACGTAGTCCTGCTATATGCTGTGATGTAACTGTAGTGAAACCAAGCAGAACATGCGTGCTTTGGCTCCCCCTGGCAGCCTGAGCTTCCTCGACAGCTGTGTGATTGTTTTTCAGTAGTTGGTGCAGTGTGTGAAACGTGAACTTTAGACAGGAACAGAACACACAGGTTCACAGCTGATATTGCAGATTCACAGTAATACCAGATGATGCGTCTGTGGTTGTAGAGGCAAATCCCAGCTGCACCGCTGGTTGAAAATAAAATAACTCTATTACGGTGCGTTTTCTTTCTTTTTTTTTTTTTTTTTTTTTTTGTAAAATGTACATAAGCAAAGGTTCCAGTGCCCCCACCTCACTTTACATGTTCTTAAGACTAAATGAGATGCATTCTTCATCAGAGGATGTATCATGGCGCGATGGAGTTCAGAGACGTGTCGTCCGGAGCAGAGAGCCAGCCTTACTACTTGCCGCGAGTGGAGGAGGAGGTGGAGATCTCTGACAACATCGCCGTCATCAGCGTCCCTCCTCCCCGCTTCAGGCCCGGAGACCCCGCTTACATCCTGCACGACTTCAACAGGGTGAGGATTGTGGACTCTGTCACACTTGGCGCAGCTCGGTGAATGATTTCTGCTGCTCTAAATTCTTTCCCGATGATTTCATGTGTGTGTGTGAGCAGAAGCTGACGGCCTATCTGGACCTGACTCTGAGGACCTGCTTTGTGATTCCCCTGAACACCTCAGTAGTTCTCCCCCCTCAGGACCTCATTGACCTGTTCTCACAGCTGATGGTGAGTACGGTCCCTCCTAGCAGCACCTGAAGACACAGATGAAAGTCCAGACTTGGATGACGGACAAACCGAACACATAAGTCTTGTTAAAGCTCATGCACACATAAGAAATTCAGGGATGTGTTGTCATTCCACAAACTGTCTGCTCTTTAATCCTTCTCAAATCTGTAATATCTTTAATTTGTACATATGAAGGTAGGTTTTAAATATTGGCTAAACTGTAAAGTTCCTGTAATTCAGTTTTCTATTATTCACTGGCAGAGACTAGCAGAGACTATGCAATAATATCATCTTAAGTGAAACGTAGGTTCTTGACAGGAAACTAAAGATGATAAATGAGCGACTTCCACCCACAGGCTTGTCCCCTTCTTCCTTTATTCATGCAGTAAACTAGAAGTATGCTGCATTTATACTGCATACTTGTATTCAAAAAGTCTCCATATTCAAATAGGGACTTTTTAAAAATCATTGATGTAGTGTTGGGTAGTTTTAGCATGTGAAGGTGGAAAAAGCTTGGCGGAGTTTAGTTTGCTTAGTGAGGAAATCAGGAAATTTCAACACTTGGTGTAGAGTTGTTTCACAAATCTAGGGATGTTTCATCACCTTTTTTTAAAAAAAAATTTATTCAGTTTTCACTGATCTGTTTTATCTGGTGGAAGATCAAAAGTAATTTTTTCATTTAAAAAGGTGCCCTGACAGTCTCATGCTCTGGTCTTTGTTCCAGTCTGACTCTTACCGCAGCTACCTGGTGCACGAGGACCTGGTGGTGACGGAGCGCATTGATGATGTCAAACCCCTGGGCTTTTATATCCGCCGTCTTTGTGATGGAAAAGAAACGTACAGAATGCAGCGCCGTGCCAGCCTGCCAGGTATAGATGTGATGGAAATGTAAAACCTCTGATTAACGTGCAGCTCTGTGGCAACCCCTCGGAAATAGGGTGCAGACCAGAGGAACTTGTGTATATAACATGCATGTCTTTAACTGTATTAAGCTGTAATATATAATCCTCTTTAATCTTTATATTACTTAATTATATTATTTAATCTTTAATTACGACATCACTGCTGTTATGCAAGATTTTTTTGCTTTACTCAGCAAGTGCAAACTAAAAAGTTTGAGTTTGCAACTTTTCCATCCTGTACTTGTCTCGTATTTTAGAAAGGAAGCTACTTGGCTGACATTAGCTCTTTCATGTTTTTTTTGTTTTTTTTTTTGGTTGATCTGGTTATGGTTAGGATAAATAACCAGAACGTCAAAATTAATGTCTGTATATAAAATATATATGAAACTGGACTTTGTCTTACAGTTTCAGGATCATTTGCATTCATAGCTATGTGTAGAGCTGTTAAGTCATAAGCTAACATTAGCGGTAGCTAATGGTAATAAATAACCACACAGTCAAAATTAGGTCTTGTATTTAAAAGACGGATGCCCCCAACATGACTGTGCTCCTTAGTTTCAGGACTACAGGTTTGTAGTCATGAGTTAAGCTTTTTGGTAATACCGTGGTGCTGCTTAGTCATAAACTAACATTAGCGGTAGCTAATAGTAAGCCACACGATGAAAATTAGTGCTAGTATTTAAAAGACAGACCCCACCAACATGACTGTGCTCTTTAGTTTCAGGACTATAGATTTGTAGTCATGAGTTAAGCTTTTCAGTAATATTGATGTAGTAGTGTTGTAAAGTAATCAGCTAACATTATCGCTAGCTAAAAAATAGCCAGACCATAAACATTACTGTACTGTATTTCACACTGGTTATGTATAAAACTGTATGAGCTAGCTTGTTTAGCAGAGTGTTGGTGTAATTTACTATGATTTTATCTTTTGGCTAACAGAAACAGCTTTCAAACAAAATATGCTGACCACAACATAAAGGAAGCAAGCTGTCACATAATGCAGTTACAACTTTAGGCCTTCATACATTTCTGATGGTTGAGTTATATAAACATGTATCCCTGTATAGTTCTTATCAAGGATGAAGTTAGCTGCTGACATTGATAACTTTTTATTTACTAGGTACACATTAATATTGATTTTGGAGTCACTAATCACTATGGCTCAAACAGAAACTGCTGACTTATCAAGTAGATGCAGAAATTATACAGTGTCAAACACACTTTGGTTAGAAACCGAATAAGAGGACGAGTGTAAACAGGCACCAACCATGCTTGACACATCTTCCTAAATGTAGTTGTGTTTGAAATGTGTCAAACACGCCCACGGCTGAATATTGAGATGAATACTTAGCACTGCTGCTTATTTGTCTTTTTGTTTGTCAGGTGGAGGCATCCAGAAGCGCTCTGCGGACGAATGTTTCACCATCCATCACTTTGAGAACAAGTTTGTGACTGAGACCCGCATCTGCAAGGCTTAAGCATGAATATAGGTCATAGAGAGCGAGAGAGGGTAGGTGGGAGTGGGCGGTGAAGGGAACAGCAGAAAGTTACTTCTGTACAAAACTCTTTCCAGTTTTTGCCTCCCCTGCTTTTAATCTAGTGTTGAGTGAATTTAAGTTGCAGCATTAGAGCCTAGCCCCCTTCTCCTCTGATGTACTCCCTCTAACCCGTGATAGGTCACAAGTGCGTAAGTATTCATTAGCTAGTCTTGTACTGGTTATTACTTTAAGTCAGTAAGCTAAAGTTAGATATACAAGTTTCATTTATTACGTTGCTTTCTGTTTTGTTGCTGTAGTTTCCTGCAGACAGATCTTATTGATGTTACTATATAACGACACATCCGCCTCATCCAGAGCAGAGCTATTAGTCATCCTACTGAATATTCTAGTGAGATCATATTAGGCGTGTGTTGCGTCAACCTCCTGTCGCCGCTCTGACCCGGGTGCACGGTGCAGGTTCGACCAGGTATTTGTATTCTGTTACAGCGTGATATAGCACAAGTCAGCATGGAGATGTCTGGTACAGTATACGTGTAACATGCTTGTCCATGGATGGTAACGCAACGCTCTCAAGTCACCACTGTTTGTAGATATCCCCCACAGTGCTGCTGTGTGATAACTTTAGTGTTTCTGATGGTCTCATACCTGATGGGAAACAGTCCAGCACCCTTACAATATATGACCAGTTTTTGTGTTTGTGTTTCAAGCTTCATGCGTGATCCTTAACCAGAGTGGTGAGCTAACGATGAATAAGCTAAAGGGAAATTTCACTTAATTTGACTTGAAAACAGTCGGTTATCTAATTTGACTATTATGTATCCGTAGTGTTATAACACGAGATGGCTCCCTGTGATCTTTACACACATCGTGTGCTTAAATGGAAAACAGTCGTCCTTGATTTCTGAAGTCTGTCGAGCACATTTTAAGTCATTTTTTTAGTGATTTCCTACTTGATGCCTGCACAGAGAGACAATCAACAGGAAGTGTGTTTGTAAAGATGGGGTTTCTGTCTCTGCTTTTTAATTGAATACTAGAAGATATTGGGGGGGGGGAAACGCCCAATGTTGTGTGCAACTACTGAACTGAACTCCACTTTGTTGTTTGAATAAAGTTGCATTTGTTTACCTACTGAACGTCGCAGTGGCTTTGTTATTATAATGGCGGTGAAAGCGGCACCAACACTAACCCTTTTATCATCCTGCGAAGGACATCGGGTTATCAAAACACTGGATCTGGAGGAAAACTGTCGCTGCGTTTCGGGGTTTTCCTCTCTTTCACTTGCTGACACTACTCGCCCTTCATCGAGGAAATGCAAATTGAGAGGGGAAAGGGGAAAAAAACATTTATTGAGAAATAAATAGGTTTAAAAAAATAACATTTTAAAACTCTACTTCCATATTTTCACATTCCCGTTTCAGCATAAATGTTATTTCCATAGTTTGCAGGAAGTTGAAGTTTGCATAGTCTTCAGTCTCAGTTAGTGGTTGCGGGGAGGCTGTCGCCACCAGAAGTTTAGTCCTCCTCTTCGTCCTGTTCTCCGGTTATACAGGACAGACGCCGGCTGAGATGTATGCTCTCCGGTATCTCTGGCTTGCTCAGTCGCCTCCAGAATTCATCAGTAGTGAAATAGTACATGATAGGGTCCAGGCTGCAGTTCAGGCTGGCCAGGCAGAGTGTGACCGGGTGACTTCGAAGAACCAGTTTCTGAAAGTCACAGCTGGTAACTTTCTTAGCTTTGACCATAAGGTCGAGAGGCATCGTGGCGTGGTAAGGTACAAAGCACACTAAGAAGACTACAGCACAGCTTAGTATCATCCTCAGCGCTCTCTTTTTCTCCCCTCTGTCAGAAATAGCATTTGCTGTATTTTCCCGAAGGCTCCAAATAGTCATGCACGTGCAGCCTAGCACCAAAACGAGAGGGACGAAGAAGCCGAACAGCTCTAGTAAAATCAAGAGGGCCCACATTGCCAAAGGACCGATATCCTTCCGCAGAGGCAGCTCCGTGAAACACTTATTTGTGTCGTTCCTTTCGGGCAAGGAAGGATCGTGTCTGAGCAGAGGGAATCCGAGGCAGACGGTACAGATGATCAGCCATATGATCCCACATATTAACACGTCTCCTTTTTGTCGACCCGAGTTGTACAACAGCGGACGCATGATGAGCTCACAGCGACGTATGCTGACGAAAACCAGGAAGTAGATGGAGGCATACATGTTGACGTACTTGAGATAGAAGCAGAACATGCAGAAGAAATACCCAAAGGGCCAGGAGTTATTCAGGTAGTAGTAGATCCGCAGAGGCAGAGAGAGCACCTGAGGAGAGGCCAGAGTGACAAAATTGAAGGCAGAGAACAGCAGGCAAACGCTGATGTACATATTTGCTCTTTGACGATGATGGTAAGGAGCTCGCTTGGTTATCTAGTAAACAGAAACATTTCTAAATAGATTTTTAAAATAAAATCCTCCCCGTTAGGCAGTTCATTGGAATAAAGAGATGAACTTCTGTAGTTGTTGTGTTCTATAATGGAAGTTTTTTCTTGTGGTTGGAATTCTCCCACAACTCTGCCAACATCTAAGAGTCATTTTGTTTTTTTGACTTCCTAATTTAGTACATGAAAGCAGAACAAAAACTAAAGAGGTCATTACACTAATTTGCTTTATTGCAGTTTTAAAACCGTATTGTAGGATCAGCATTACAACACTAAATGTAACTATTAGAGGCACGAGTAGTGTAACAAGTACTTCTTGCATGCAAACTTCTTCCCTGATTAAAGCTTGACCCCTGAGGACGGCTATGTGGTCACTTAACCACACAACCACATCATGTGATTTCACAGTAATGGTTTAAACTAGAAAGTAAGTGCCAAATACGACTGAAGAGGATTTTTTTACCTGCAGTAGGTCGGCCACAGCCAGGTTCATCATGAACACCACGGCCTTCTTGGTCTCTCTGATGTAGGCCCTGAACACCCACAGCGCCAGCACGTTACCCAGCAGGCCCGGTGCTAAGATCACACTGTACACCACGGCATACAAATGGTGCTGGTAGTCTATTATCTCACTGGTATTGGAGCAGTTCATATTAGGAGAACTGACATTCATGTCAGTGTTAAGATGAGCTGCCTTGCAAACCAGCAGGAAGCTTGTATCAGCAGAGCTGCTTGTAGTCCGGTGACGGGTTGGTTTGAGCATCCATGCCGCTGGTTACATCATGCTGCAGCCCGTGCAGCTGGTACTCTCTGCGGCATGTCAGACAGAGGAAGAGTGTCTTTTGTTTTAAGTTTTTGTCCAGCGCTGATGTGTCCTCCAGGCTTCTCTGCGATCCCCAAAGAGTCTGGTGGTCTGGTAGAGGAAAGAAAAGTAAGTTAAGTTAGTGTAGTCGGAGGTGGAAAGCGTTACCAGAAAGAGGAAGAAAAACAACTACAAGTTTCTGTGCTGTCACCTCACACCAAGAGGTTCTGTCTCTGCCTGTGTTTTCTCACACACTGTAGTACAAATCAGCTCTTGACAGCGACGCAGTTGAGTTTTAACTGCTTTCGCCCAGTGCAGCCTGGGGATATTAAAGTTACTGTTTTGCATGTTGCATAGATAGGCATCAGAATTGGAGAAGGAACCTTTTTAGATGAGACACAGATGACATTGTGCTCGGCGGCAGCACCTGCCAGCTATAATCTCCCATGTGTTTTTATGAATAACGTAATTAATCAATGATCCTTGATAGCTGTGTTTTTGCAGTGCCCTTTACAGCAAGCGTGCAAACCCGCAGAGAAGTCGGTAAAATCCCCCACGTGCTGCTTCACTGCCGAGCATTATGGTGCCTGCACTGAGTCTGTGTGAAATAACTACCGCGCAAGGCATCAAAGTGAAACTAGCGTGGTTAGCGCAGGCAGACCAGGCAACTGGTTAACAGCCCAGATCAAGGAAAAACCTGTCACTAAAGAGCACTTTGAGATGAGGAGCAGCACCGCGGGTGGTTTTTCGATGTAGGTGACGCCTGTAACGCGCTTCTTTTTTTCCCTCCTTCTTTGTGATACACACACAGAGCAGAAAATGAAAGTAATGGAGTTGAAATTTTAAAGCTTTTAGATGACCTTCAACTTAGATTATCTTCAAATGCTTTCGGTTCAAATGGAAATAGTAATGTTAGGGACTGAACGGCCTATAGGTGCACACACCCACAGCTATAAACTTTAGTGCGTATAAACCAGTTTAAAATTATGTTTTTTTACTTACTGTTGTCATCCTCTTTTTGATCAGCTTTTGTTTCTTGTTATCTTATTTCTAATGAGACTTATTAGACCCTAGCAAACCCAGGAACGATGTGGTGTTGTGATCTTCCACATACCTAGTACCCAGACACCTGCTATGCTCAAATAAACACCTCCATGTGTTTATTTCTGGCCTCCATTAGTACATTAATCCTCTATCAGTTTAAAAGGGACAATGTTTATCATGTGGACCCTTAAATCATACACTGTCTTCCTCCCTTCCCCCTCTCTTTAAGCTAGCTTTCTTCTGATTGGCTGCTCCTTGCAACCAAAAGGTTTGAATAGCTGGTGGGTGGAGCTGCTGTGCTAACCGCATTGGGATATTTTTAAGTGACATCATCCAGAGCAAAAAGCAGTGAAAAAAAGAACAGAAACTGTGTTTAGAGTATTCTGAAGCCTGAACTTTGACTCACAGGGATTAGTAATGCATACTCTGATGTCATTATTTGGAACTTTGGCCTTGTTTAGCACTATGAGAACACTATATATGTATGGCAGAATGTTAGCAATGCATATTAGACCTACTTTAACCAGTTTCAGGACATCTCAGGATCATTTATGAACCATTTTATCGATGTGAAAATGCAAATCAGCCAGTAAAATATTGTTCATATTTGACAAGAAACTTACTGCCACGTAAACTTCAGAAAAGCATTTTTTGTTTTGTTTTTTACACCTACTATACTCAAAACACGCAGCAAAAATTGTGTAGCTATTTTCGTGCGTGAGGGGGAAATGGCACTTGCCAAACACAAGACAAACAGTGGTTAACTAACTGCTCTTAGTTCTCTTTATGGGCTCCCTCAGCAGGTTTTTATACACGATATTCGCGTTCCTGTTGCTTAACTAAAAGAACGCCACATTTCTTTACAGGGAAATGACTAAATATAGTGGCACATTTGACTACATTTGAATGCATACATTTGGCTGCTAGCATTGCACTGCTGTTTCAGCTGCAACAGTAAAAAGATGGCACGGTTTGAGTATTGCCTTCTCACCCGTGTGTCTGCCCTCCCCTAAAGAGTCATGAGATAAATTCTGCGTTGGAGTAAAATGATTAATAGGGTGGACCTTTTTAGAAAAAAACAAAAAACCTTTATTTGGGAATATATTTTTACTTTCTTCAATGTTAAAGCTATTTATCTAAGACATTTACACTTTTTTTTGTTAGTTTGTACTCTTCACAGCTTGTTTTTGTAAGCGGTTACAAGCCAAAGAAGTTTAGGCAGCAGTCTTTTGATAATAACCTGTTTAGTAACTTGTACCTTTAGCAGTGTGTAAGTAAATGTAGCAGAGTGTAAACAGCGATCCCTGCCTGGGATGTACCAGTGTAAATGTATAAAGTAGTATTTGGGCCTGAACTTAATTCCTCACAATCATACACAAACAAACAGTGGAATTTTATTTGTAAAAAGGGGGGGTATGCTAAGCTTGGACTGCTTCTCAGCTCCCTGACTGCCTTTTATGCTCAGGCCGAGGCCCCAGTAGACCGTCAGCCCTCGGACTGCCTTTTAACTCAGTGACCGCTGACCTGTGTGTTACTGTTTGAAAAGGATTCTCCACTTATTACTCTCACTTATGCACGTACCATGTGCTTCCTTCCAAGGCTGTGTGTTGATTTGTATGATGTGCAAAAGGCCAATCTGTGACAAGCTCTCATTTCCTTCTCGCAGTAGAGGCTTTAACATGTATGTACAGGAGTCAAACCGAGACCATCTGTTGTGAAAGTAACATGTTTACGGTAACGAGCGTCGAGATCAAGCTGAAATTTCCATCTAACCGAGAGAAGTGAGCTGTTTTTAAAAAGATAAAGCTAAAAAGAAAAGGCAAGTGCTGCTCCCCTACCTTAGGACTCAGTAGTTTTCATCAGGTCTTGCCAGTGGAAACACATAATCTCATCTGCTGTGATTCACCTCCGTCTGTGGGCTGCTGGCATGTAAGCAGCTTTCTGAAGATCTGACCTCGTGTTTCAGAACCAAAAACGCTGCCGGTGAGCATCGGGGTCCCTCCACGTGTGTGTGCCCTGTTCAGATACACAAGAAAATATGCCGTGATCTCCAGGAAGTCCACTGACACATAAAGACCAGACACCCCAATACTGGCCCTCACACACACACACGCACTTCAACATAACAGGCATTCCACACACTGGAGAAACAGACAAGGTCCCCCATGAGCCATGACTCCACATAGAAAGCATCCACACACAAACCCCCACACACTCGCTACTTTCTCCGAACACTTCTGAACATTATTAGCAATTAATAATCATCCTCTCACCTCTGTCTTTAAAGATGCTGGAGAAACGAAAAGCTGATAAGACCGAGGCGTCAGATAAAAAACTCCATCCTCCTTTCTCCTCCTCTAACACTCTTTAATTTCAGCGTCCCGCCTCTTTCTCTCTCTCTGCCTCTCTCTTTCATTCTACCTCTCTATCTATCTTTCATATCCATTAACTTTTGTCTTCACTCGTACTCTTTCCTGTTTTGATTTCTTATCTATCACTCGTTGCATGTGTGTCGCCCGTCTGTGTGTCTGCTGTTCTGGGGATTTTAGCGCGCACACACACACACACAGACACACACACAGAGGGCTTCCTGTGAGCGTAGGGGTGTGGTTTACAAGAATTTTCTTTTGACACTTCTGCTATTACACTCTTAGTTGCCATTTCCTCGTGGACAAAGTCAACACGTCAACACGCACTTTTTTTGTTTTATTGACAGGACTTCAAAAATAAATCAATCAAAAATAAATATTTACACCAAAGCCACGACGCAAACTTTCACAAGTTACAATGTGACACTGTCAGAAAGCAAACGCTACACTTTGATGCGTGTGAGAACAGAGAAACAAGAGGCAGGTGCATTTTGGTGGATGATTCATTCTTGGTAGATTTCCTTAGGTGGGCTGCATTTGTGCGTCTGGGGGCTGATGTAGACTCAGAGTTGGCTCAGGCTTGGCCTGTACAGATGGGTGGGTGGGGGGGGCGCCTGACAGTTACTGGTTTCAGAGCTGCTGTAACTGCTGCCAACTGCCTTCACCACTTTGCATTCTGAGAGGAAGTGAAGCAAAAATGAGCTGGCACCTGTTTTCACATTTTACCTGAAAGAAAAAAAGTCCAACTCGCAGTGAAGAAACAAACATCAGAGCCAGAGATGAGACTTAAAGCTTTTAATGGGAGTGCATTTCACATACAGCTTTTATTACATAGCTTATATCAAGTTTTATACACACAAACTGAAACATTGGGCAGCGTTTACGATACTGCATGTTGGAGGGTGTTTTCTGCTTGCTTTAGAGGAGGCGGGCTTCACACAACTCAGGTCAATGTCTTTTGGGTTGTTTGTGTTCAGACAGCTGCAACATGTCAGCTGATCATATCCAGCTTGGACCCGGTGTCAGTCGGCTTTAAAGTTCAACAGAATCCTTCATGGACTTTTCCTCTGAGCAATGCTACTCCCTGTATGAGGAGGTGCTCATGAGTCTGCTCTGCAGAGGACACTGGGTCGGTGATGTGGTTGGGGAGGAGATGGAGGACGAGAAGGAGGAGGTGCGCCTTTTGAGGTGCATCCTAAACTCGGCTGTAAGAAAGTAATAAAGGATGGGGTTGAAGCAGCAGCTCAGGCCCGCCATGCACAGAGACACTGGGTGAAACTGGAGCACCACCCTTCTGACGGTGCAGCTGGACACGATACTCTGCTTCACCATCAGGTAGAGCGCGAAGTTGAGGTGGTACGGAGCGAAGCAGAACAAAAAGAGAATGAAGCAGCCCACCACCATCCGCAGAGCACGCCGCTTCTCGCCATTTGTGTGCTTTTCATTCGGTTTCTCCGCCTGGCAGTTGGAGGTGACTGAGTGGAGGCGGCTGCGTGCTGAGGAGTTGAAGGAGTTGTGCTGATCCTGGATCTGCTTCTCCTTGAGTGACCAGAAGATGCGGACGGTGCTGTATGACATGCATGCTAGAGGGATTAGGAAACCACACGCCTCAAGAAAGACCAGCATGGTGATCGTCAACGAGAGAGGAGGATGGCGCATGGGCAAGTCTTTAAAACAGCCCGCCGAAGTGGCGTTGGAGTCTAAACTCTGTTTGGTGACACCTAAGGGAAACTGGGCATGGGTGCTGTTTAATGCCACTTCATTTTTGCTACTGTTGTTGCTACTCCGCATCAGGATAAAGGGAGAGCAGCTCAGACCAACCACAACCCACACTACAAAGCTGATCAGCAGGTCATAGCGACGCCGCCACCTTCGAGCCGTGAACGGCTTCTGCAGGAACAGACACCTCTGCATGCTGATGCACACCTGAAATCAGAGAGAAATGAAAAGAAGCTACTTTGTTATTTATTCTGAGGCACAGGAAGCAAAGCAGTTCCAAGAAGGAAGACAGAGGCTTTCATTCAAATCACTTTCTGCTTTGGAGTTTAATTTTTAAAACAAAAACAACAACAAAAGTGCTTTGTACTGACATTTGACTGATTTTCAATGTAATGAAAACTAGAAAGATCTCATTTGATTATCCTTGTTCCCTGTGATGAGCATTATCAGGAAATTCAAGGCTTGCTTTCCCTAAACTGCCTGCTTACCAGGAACATTATAGCGGCGTACATGTTGAGATATTTCAGGTAGAAGCAGAACAAGCAGAGACCGCGTCCAAAGGGCCAGGTGTGCGTGAAATAATAATAGATCCTGAGGGGCAGAGAGAGGATGTGGGCCAGGTCTGCGATCGCCAGGTTTATCATGAAGATCACCGCCTTGGTCTTCTTGCTGTTAAACGGCACATACAGAGAGTTAGTGAAAACATACCTGAAAATCTAAAGGTGTGAACTTGTATGAGTGTTACCTGATGTATCTGAGGAGGACCCAGAGTGCAGTGGTGTTGAGCAGCAGCCCGGGTATGAAGAGAATCAGGTAGAAGTAGGTGTATATCACGTCCATTTTCTGATTCCAGACCGTTTCATTGTAGTTGCATTCAGTCATATTGGTGACCATATTTCTTTTTCCCTCACAGTGACACCGATGATATAGCCAAGCGTGCCTTTCCTTTGATCATAATTTTTACCTTTGACAGCTGAAAGGCAGAGGAGAACTTGTGAAACGTCCGATGCACATACACGTTGCGCTTTATCTTTATTTTCATAATTTGCCCTTAATGAAAATCTCATAGCCTGCGCGTGGAAAGAAAAAAGCTGAACAGTGCTTCATGTTTCCCGTTATGTTGTTGTGAAAGTTGAAACTAAAAGTTTGCTTTGAAAACTGGAATCAGCAGCTGCCAGAGCAACAGTCAACGGTGAACCTACATTTTCACTTTGGCAGGTGTGAAGCCTCCTGCAGTGTGACACATACTTTGTAGCTTTAAACCCAGTTTAACACAGAAATGCTCCAAAAAACAAGAGCAACTGCATACTGGTTTAATTCAAATCCAATTCAATTCAATTTTATTTATATAGCGCCAAATCACAACAGCAGTCGCCTCAAGACGCTTTATATTGTACAGTAGATTGTACAATAATAGATACAGAGAAAAACCCAACAATCATATGACCCCTTAAGAGCAAGCACATTGGTGACAGTGGGAAGGAAAAACTCCCTTTTAACAGGAAGAAACCTCCAACAGAACCAGGCTCAGGGAGGGGCGGGGCCATCTGCGGTGACCGGTTGGGGTGAGAGAACTGAATGACTGCAAACATCTATATGTAAAAAAGTATCAAGTGTATTTAGATGAGATGATGTAACCGTTGAGTCTAAAAGTGAATGTTAACAACTCATTAAAGGGGCATTCCATGAATTCAGTTCATCCACTTTCATTCGTTGCTGTTGCTCCTGACATCATCATCCTGATGATGTCATTAGCACTACAGGAAAACCACTTTGCAACCCACCTCAGCGATCCCTTTCATGCTGCAACATCAACACCTGCTCTATCCTATGTGCTACTCCTCGTTTCACCTCAGTGTGCACATGGAAAGGCAGAGGGAGGTGTGTCCTCCTAGATCAGCTAGAAATAAATTGCTACAAGTAGAAATATCAGTCTTCCTTCACTATATTTGTTCCTTACTGATCAGTCAGGATATCCCCACCTTTTTTCTTTGGGGCTTGTTTGTGGGAATTTCTAAACAGATTTTGAAGCAGATGTAGCTGCTCTCTGGAGATAAGTGCCATAAAGTCTATTGGACTGGTAAGCTGCAGACCCAGATAAAAACAAGGTGTCATAAAGCAGCAGCCAGCAAAACACAGAAAAGGCTTGCACTAATGGCATATAGCAAAATTACAACAATTTTCTATATGAAGTAATTTTGGTCATCACAGCCAAGCTAATATGAAAAAAAAATGATTCAGTTAGATTTTTCTCCCCATTCTTGTGTGATGGTTAATTGTTTAAATTATGTGTTTTTATATGAGAATGCCATGAAAAAACTGTTAAAGTGAAAATAAATCAAAAACTGCTTAGGACGGCAGCAGGAAGTGACCGGAAGAAAGATCGGGGACTGGCTCTGCTTATCACGGGAGGATCATCCTTCCTCTAACATCATTATAAGTCCGCACCCTTTCCTACACTAGGCCCACGAGGGGAACACAGTAATAGTGGTCGTTTTTTAAACTGCTTCACCAGATTCAGGCCTGTTTAGACTTGTCTGACAGCTGCTGAGACTCTCAGTTTAAAAAAGCTCCCTGATGATGCCTGTACGATAAAGAGTTGTGTAATACTATCTGAGGAGTTGTGCTTAAGGAAATTACAGAAACCGAGAATTCATTTTCATGACACACCATGAAACACGTGTAAAGAGTTTCTTATATCTGTTAAACGTGCTAACATAAAATATCAAGTTGATATGATTAAATATTGGTGATACAGTAACTGGTGATTCGCTTTAGCCAACATTGAAACAAAAACAACAATAACGATAACTTTTTTTTTTCAGCGTATCAGAAATTTCAAAGTCTTTATATCTTGTGACACAAAAGCTTTCGTATGCACACGGCGACACATGTACATTTCCAGATTTAAGATTAAATGCAAAGTGAAAGCACTAATAACAGTCCGTTAACATCAGCAATATTCAAAGCATGACTCTGACCGCAGGGCACAGCAGCATGACGCCCTCACAGACATGTCTACACAAACAAACACTGTGTCAATACCTTGTTTCTTGTGCCTCTAAATCACCCGTATAGGCAGAAGGTAGAGGTCAGAGCCAGGAGCGACCGCGTGGAGCATCGCGCACACCTTCTACAAAGTCCTCGCGCTGTGCAGCAGAAAAAGGAGTCAACAGATGCTGAAAGAAGAATCTGTCAGCGCACTGCAGGTGAAGACAGCATGAAGCTGATGGTGATGTGATATGAGAGTGTTTGCTGGAGGTGGCGGGATCTGGTGTCACTTGTTCTCTGACTCAACTAGCTGCCAGTTTTGAAGGGAAGGGGAAGCTCTGCCCTATTGCGTTTGAGTGTTTTTCTGCAGTTTGCGCCGTCGTCACTAGTGCTTAGCAACGCACGTAAGAGCTAAGACGAGCAGAGTTGGACACACATGTGGTTAAACCAAATGGCAGCAGGAAAAGAGGTTACGCTGAAAAAGCACAGGCAGATGCAGACACATGCTTGTTTTTCTTACCTCAGAAATTTCTGAAGATTTTCAAAAGATCTTTTCAAAGGTGATCTGGTTCGCAGACGCAGCAGATCCCGAGGAAATCAGCCCTCTTCTTTAGCTTCTCTTCTTTGCAGTCTGTATTTAAATACATCTACAGTGCAACACTGACGGTGTAAAAGTTGTCTCAGTTCACTGACAGCCGTTGTGACCAAAATAACTGCACTCATCTGCTTCCCCGTTCAGATTCTGTACTTCCGTTTTTAAATCATAGTATTTATTCAGCAAAATGTAGGTTACCTGGCTCCTAGTCCTCTAAAAATTAAAAAGAAAAATTAAATAAAAAAGCTGCATTTGTGTGTCCTCTGACACTGAGCAGTAGCTTTTAGGCTTTGTTCTTGTGGTTATGGTTTTCGTTCACGAGGCCTAGAGAAAAAAAAGAAGGAAAGCCTTCACGTGCTGTAGAAATGTTTAACCACGCTTCAGCTTTATGACATACACTCGCCATCCTGTTACTTTCACAGCATGAGGCCACACCCAGAGAAAATAACTTGATAACACTTCCCATGCTTGCCCCAGCTGCTTTATGGCTTCTCTGAGACTTCTACAGGGCTGACAAACAGGTGACTATAAAGCCCAAAACAGGAAAATAATCAGCAAACGTGGAACGTGGTCTGTGGTCAGTCTGTCTCAAATTAAAAATTGCTGTTCTTCCAACGTGTTGCCACTAGATGTCAGGACAAGCCACTGGTCATAAATGACTGAGCCATGTGCATTTTTCTCTTCTAGATTTAGGGCAGACTGTTTCTTTAACAGGCGTGCTCGAACGGTAAACATCTGACTGTTATCTGTTCAAAAAAATGGAAAAAAAGTGACGCAACACTCTTGGAATGAACCACTCGGGGGGGGTGAAGCTCATGCATACCTCTACACTCCCACTGTTCTTATTTCCTGGTTTTCTTCTCTCCTCCTGCTACCCTTGACCCCAAATCTGAGAATCCAAAGACTGCTGCCCCTCTGTCGTTCTGCTGCTAAATGCTCCCATCATTCACACAACCAGAC